GATCGCCACACAGCACGACTCTGCAATCCTGCCTGTCACACCAGCAAACTGTTTACATTCCCAAACTGATCTAGAGGGTAACTACATCAAGACATTCAATTCACATTCAGCAAATATTCGTTTTGATGTACAGTTAAAGTCTGAATTATTCACCCCTGACTTATTAGCCCCAATGTATGCTTTTCCCCATTTTCTGTTTAACGGAGAGCAGATTTATTCAACACATTTCTAAACATAATAGTTTTAATAACTCATCTCTAATAATGACACGCCATGAAGATAGTCCATAATATTTGACTAGACATTTCTCAATATTCAGCTTAAAGTGACATTTAAAGGGTTAACTAGGTTATTCAGGCAAGTTAGGGTAATTAGGCAAGTCATTGTATAACAGTGGTCTGTTCTGTAGACTATACAAAAAATATTGCTTAAGAGGGCTAATAACATTGACCTTAAAATGGTTTGAAATTTTTTTTACTGTTTTTCTTCTAGCCAAATATATATAAACCATTAAACAAAGCAACTTGTATTCAAGCGAAACGGCTGATGGAAACATGCTGCGAGAGAGAGCACATTTAAATACAGAGGTCCAAAATACAACACATACAGAGAGTTTAGATGCAAATAAATGCACCACACACACACATTAGCTTATCAACAGCAACCCAAACAGCCCCACAACAAACACAGTCAATTCTCAGTTGTCTTTACACATTGACCACTGGCTTTTGGGAAATTGTTCAATGAGGCTTAATAATAGCCAGATTTATACTGACACAACATACTGTACTGCTGGATGGGAATTTAAAGGTCAAAGATTAAAGGCAAACATGAACTTTGCATCCAGAGCCTCATCAGCCAGTTCAGTTCAGACTTTGGGATCAAATAAAAATAAAAATCAGCATTATTTATGGGCTTTTAATATTCTTGTAGTATTTATTAAATGCAACACAGCAATTTTTCTATGGCGATCTTTATCATTTTAAAACTGATTGCTTATTCAAGTTAAGCTTTTAATCTAATATTCAATGTTCACTTTTTATTTTAATAGTAGTTTACTGCAGGTATTAGTAATCTTGCTAGGTTTTCTTGTAATTTATGTTTAATATTGAATTATATTTATTATATATTTAAATAAGTCAATCAATAAGTCGATCATGATTTCATAATATGGGTTTACGATCTAACTTACCTAAAATCTTTTACAAAGGTACTATTGGATATTTCAGTACTCATTAATTTAAGTATATGTCTTAAACTCAGACATTTCTCACCTTTCTAAGACAAATCTGACGAGAAACACTTGAGGGAAAATACCTGAGGCAAGACTTGAAGCTCTAAATGATAATATTCATCAAATGAAATGCAACCGGAGAGCAGTTTTTGTGGACTCTCTGTCACTCATTAGTATCCTGTTCGCTCCTGTCATGCCAAAATTGATATAAGCCCATCTGACAGCGTCCACTCCAGCCATAACTCACCTTATATCTGTTATCAAGCATCTAAAAATACAGCTCCTGAGATGAAGAGCATCTGACAGTCAGGGCTAATGATGAAACTTCTGCTCAGACAATGATCTGAGGACAGCAGAGATGTTTACGAGCGAGCTAAATGCTGCATTGTGTAGCTATAGTACACAGATGGCACTGTTACTTCATTGTGCTTAAATATCTCTCTGAAATAACGCAAACACTCTCAAAATGCGTAAAAGAGTATTAAGAGTTGAGCATGATACGATGTGAATACTAGTTAGCGTCCATAGATATATACGTTAAATGTCGCCTACCCTAATGTTGTCTTTTGGACGGAATGCGTCAACAGATCCGCCATTTTAGTACAGGGTAACGCTCCTTTGAAATGAACGCTCCTTTTAAACGAGCGCCATCTAGCGGTCACATAATCTAATGACTAAATATTATGAACTTATTTTATAAAAACATATAACTTGACATTAACTTTTTTTCTTACCAACCCCACTGGTCTTTTTCACAAGACAAAATTTTATTGTTGGAAACTGTGTTTTACTTATATCTATATTTGACTTTTGCATGCTTGAGGAAGAGACGTTTTACTTGATTTGGTTCATTAAAAAACTCCGACTACCAATATCATGATACAGGTTGCCTATATCTGCTGTATTCACCCTAAAACTTACAGTAGGTTGACATAAAACCAAAGACAACACCCATTCTTGTCTTAAGATATTTTAAGCAATTTTTTGAATAACAGTAAGTTAATGACATGTTACATATATAGTAAATCTGCTGGTTTTAAACATACAGCATAATAATAAATACAGGTATGTAACAACCATAACATTACTCTTATGTCTTAGGACAAATATGATTAACTTTTGATTACCTACACTAAATGTTGACTATTGAAGGTACATTTATAACAACTAACTTGTAGACTACTGTATTATCAAACCATGTTGCATACAAATGCATTCAACAGACTTAAAATGAGAGTGTAGAGGACAAATAAAACACGAGACAGGTATTTAGGAAGAGTATAGTTTATTTTGTTTGACCTGCAAACTTATCTAAACAAGACAAACTCTCAGAAAACACACCGGAAACATTGTGATGCGCGCGCTCGTGGAGATAACCCGCGGTCGTCTTAAACTGTTGTCTTCAATAGTCCATCTTTGCTCAACAACTCATCTGAAAAACAAAGCAAAACATTACAACATTCAGACAAAGAGCAGAGAGCATAGAATCACCAAGAGGCGATACTCTAGTGCAATTTGGGAAACAATAACACGCTTTTTGAATAAAAACAAAGCCGCTGTTTGCCATTGCGACAGCAATGATATCCAATGCACGAGCGATCGCTTCACTTCAAAATGGCGGAATCTGTTGCTCTTGGTCATCCTAGGCTCTTTGCATAGTTAAATCATAACAGTTATCATGGTTTCTATTTCAAACTATAGTAAACTAAAGTTTGAAACTATAGTTTAAAATAGAAGATGAGTGGGCCTCGCTACTCCCACCCACCATAACCCTCGCAGCGAGGTCCCACTACCGGCCCCCCGTGTTTCCCTGAGGGTCCTCGGGGGTTGTTTGTTCCCTGCCTAGGGCTCAAAGGCCGCCTCGCCCCAGGGAGTGCACGGAAAGACCGGGCGCCAGGCCGTGCCAGTATTCACTGGATGTTGCTCGGCGGCACATTTCGAGCAACAAACACGTAATATTCTTCGCGATATTGCGTTTATGTACGCAAACCGCAAGGAACTACAGCACAGACGGGCCCGGGTGAAGCATCACGAAGCGGACTTCGTGAGTTTGGCGTAGCTCCACTCGTACCGTCGGTATTGAACTCACCTTGGTCAAGTACAAACAGCTACACCGGGCGAACTGACAACGCTGATTGAGAGCACACGAGCTTTATAGGAATGCATATGCAAATTTTTACAAGGCACGTCACTGTTGTCTCGTTGTCATGGCGAGCGCTGAGGAGGGCTCATCTGATTGGAGCACAGAGACGCGGAATTTGCGTCACGGCTAGTTGCAGTCTGCTGTTGACAAAAATATCTTAAATATAATAAATATATATTTTTACATTTTTGGTGCTGTGTAATATTCTGGGATGCAGTAGAATATGGAGACAGATGAATATAATTGGATATATGCCGAGCTAGTGTTGTTCCCATACTTATTAACTTCCGGTGACCGGTTATTATGAGGTTTTTTTTCCATTTTATACGGTTCCTTTTACAGCATTGATGTTGTGATGCAATTAAAATACATTCAGTTAAATAAATTTTGGCATTCATTTAGTTGTTCAAGCGTAAAACGAGACAAAAGACCCTTTACTCGCACTCGCCCGTCAGAATCGGCAGACTAGCGCAGACGCTCCATTGAATACAATGAGGTAAAATAACTTAAATGCTCATATTATAAAGACATGGCGGGGGAAATATAATTTAATGCAGTGCTTCTTGTACAATCTGAGACCTACTTTATATCGGATATCACTCCACCAGTGGAGATCGCTGATTTTGAAAGAAAACAGACCTTAAAAACGTGCAGATTTTTCCTTTGGCATACAGTTCGCCGGAAGCGCTTAACCCAGCTTAAAAGTCCTATTAACATGCTTCAGCATATACCCTAAAATCCCAGATTGTCTTTCGAAAAAGAGTACGGGTTTAACCCCGCCATCCTGGCCAAATTTACCCACTGGCCTCTGTCCATCATGGCTTCATTTCTCTGTCTCCTCTCTCTGTGGTGTGCGGTCTGGTGGAAAACGGCTGCTGTCGCTGCATCCAGGTAGATGCTACACTGGTGGTAGATGAGGAGATTGCTTCCCAATAAATACCAAACTAGCTAAATTTAATAACAATATTTCCCCTAAATGCTAATTTTGTACTCAATATGATGAAACACTAAAGCATTTATTTTGGGAGTGTACTTACTGTAAAGTGTTTTGGGTTGACTTTTCCAATTTCATTAAAAAATTCTTATTTCCAAACTTCTGTATTTCCCCAAAAAATTGTATTCTTTGGTTACTCTCTGAGTGTAGATCCTTCTCATTGAACATTTATTGTTGATTTATTGTTTTTTTATAGCAACATTTTACTTCCATATATGTTAATTTTCAAAGAAACACCCTTACTTTTTTATTTTCAGAAAGGACTTTGAAATTTATGTCAACTCTTTAAAAGACTCTAACAATTACACTGCATGTAAAATACTTTCTTGGTGTAAATCATTTAAACTTGTTTAATTTGCTGGAATTCTATTTATGTAACCCTCTTTGTCTCTTTGTTCATATTATATCTTTGTAATGTTCTTTCTTGCATTAAAAAAAAGTAGATGAGGAGATTCCCCCTATGTGTAAAGCGCTTTGAGTGCCAAGAAAAGCGCTATATAAATGTAAGGAATTATTATTATTATTATAAAGCACTGTTCTACCATCATGATATAGCCAGACTAAAATGAAAATCACATTATTACGATTAGCTTAAACTACAGCGAACACTCCACTCACTGACAAACAGCCCCTTTCATAAAGATTTAATTCACAGGTCTGTCATAATCAGGCAAATATACATTAACATACAGAATATCGGCCTCTTCTGATGCGCCACACGTTAAATAACGCAATAGTTCAAGACACACGTTTGCTTTTTTTCTCTACTTAAAAGAACGATAACAATACATCATAACAAGAGCAACAACAACAACAATTCATATCATAAAGATAAGCCAAGTTGTCTTTTCTAAAATTCAATATATAGCGACTCTTTTAAGATGCACCACAGGTGACTTGTTAAAGAAACTCAACAAATGTTGCACCATGACACACACAGTGAAATAGACAGAGACTTTTTGCAAACGTTGTATATGTATATAAGTGTCTCTTTAAGGTCGTCTTCTGGCACTTTCTCCAGAGCGCGTCCGGCTCGGCTGTGTTTCTAAAGTTAAAGCAGTCTGTTTTTGTTGGTTTGGCACACATCAGGGTGGAAGCGGTGGTGGAGTAAGGCTTCTCTTCTTCTCTTTATATCCAGAAGACTCTGATATCTCATCTCTCACAGCACCTCTGCAGGAAAACAGCAGAAACGGTAACGCTTTCTTTTACAACCCGCAAAGTACCGCGTAAGTACAGTGAAATTACAGTGTACTTTTCTGTACGTACTGTGTAAGTATAATGAACGTATGTGTAGGTATAAGGGAACAAACCGTAATGCTTGGGTAAAAAGGGGGTAACAACCAGATGTTCATCACGAAAATTACCGCGTAAGTACAGTGAAATAACGGTGTACTTTTCTGTACCTATAGTGTAAGTATAAATATTGTTTACGTAAGTATAAGGGAACAAACTGTAATGCTCGGGTAATAAGGGGGTAACAACCAGATATTCAGCATGAAAGGTACCGCGTAAGTACAGTGAAATAAGGTTGTACTTTTCTTTAAATTGCAAAAGATCAAACCATAATGTTTGCGTAAAAGGGGAGTAACAATAAGATATCCATCACGCAAAGAAGTATATTAAGTTTACGATGTACATTTCTTCAAGTATTGTATACATATAAAGAATTATGCAAGGATGGTGACAACCTATTGCTATCTGCGAATGTACTGTATATGCACCTGCGTGAGTACATTAGTACTCTTATTCAGTGCTTGGGTTTTATATGGGGTGTTTAATGAATAAAAGGTTTACAACCTGTGAAATTATGAACCCTTATTGTATACTGTATGTATTTTAAATCTGCAATTCAATATAAAATATATTTCCATACACTACTTACCTTATGTTTACTCGTCGATCTCACCAAAGCCATCAATGTCTCCATAACTCACTATCAACAAATAACTTTGCATGATATAGGCCTACCGTCAGGGTTCAATGCAGATTAAAACAGGCTCGCATCTTTACTGCTGTTGCACAGGGGGGCTAACTGTTGCATTTCAGTAAATGTATAGCTGATGCTTTATAGAAAAATCTAGTAATTTGGTCTTCAATCAATAAAAACTGCTGCTGTAGTTTACTCTGTTCTTAGTGTTCAAGTATACACTAGTATGTTAAAGTTCAGCTTCTTCCCTCTTTGTTCCCTGTAGTTAAAGGGTAAATACAGTATTTGTTCCCTCCTTGTTCCCTGTACTTACAGGGTAAATACCACATTTGAGGGTTGTAAATTAAAGTGAAGCTTTGTTCCTCTCTTGTTACCTCCTTGTTCCCTGTACTTACAGGGTAAATACCAAATTTGAGGGTTGTAAATTAAAGTGAAGCTTTGTTCCTCTCTTGTTACCTCCTTGTTCCCTATACTTACAGGGTAAATACCACATTTGAGGGTTGTAAATTAAAGTGAAGCTTTGTTCCTCTCTTGTTACCTCCTTGTTCCCTGTACTTACAGGGTAAATACCAAATTTGAGGGTTGTAAATTAAAGTGAAGCTTTGTTCCTCTCTTGTTACCTCCTTGTTCCCTATACTTACAGGGTAAATACCACATTTGAGGGTTGTAAATTAAAGTGAAGCTTTGTTCCTCTCTTGTTACCTCCTTGTTACCTGTACTTACAGGGTAAATACCACATTTGAGGGTTGTAAATTAAAGTGAAGCTTTGTTCCTCCCTTGTTACCTGTACTTACAGGGTAAATACCAAATTTGAGGGTTGTAAATTAAAGTGAAGCTTTGTTCCTCTCTTGTTACCTCCTTGTTCCCTATACTTACAGGGTAAATACCAAATTTGAGGGTTGTAAATTAAAGTGAAGCTTTGTTCCTCTCTTGTTACCTCCTTGTTCCCTATACTTACAGGGTAAATACCACATTTGAGGGTTGTAAATTAAAGTGAAGCTTTGTTCCTCTCTTGTTACCTCCTTGTTCCCTGTACTTACAGGGTAAATACCAAATTTGAGGGTTGTAAATTAAAGTGAAGCTTTGTTCCTCTCTTGTTACCTCCTTGTTCCCTATACTTACAGGGTAAATACCACATTTGAGGGTTGTAAATTAAAGTGAAGCTTTGTTCCTCTCTTGTTACCTCCTTGTTCCCTGTACTTACAGGGTAAATACCACATTCGAGGGTTGTAAATTAAAGTGAAGCTTTGTTCCTCTCTTGTTACCTCCTTGTTACCTGTACTTACAGGGTAAATACCACATTTGAGGGTTGTAAATTAAAGTGAAGCTTTGTTCCTCTCTTGTTACCTGTAGTTAAAGGGTAAATACAACATTTGTTCCCCCTTGTTCCCTTTAGTTTACAATGTAAAATCTTAAAGGCAGTGAAATAAATATACAAACACACAATATATTTCTTCTTTACTTTGTAACCTTTATTTTAATAAATAAGCATTTTAAAAGACTTCATATTAATCAAACATTGTCTTGTCTATCATTGCCTATACTCATTCATTTTCTCTTCAGCTTTGTCCTTTTGTTAATCTGGGGTCGCCACAGTGGAATAAACCACCATCTTATCCAGCATATGTTTTACGCAGTGGATGCCCTTCCAGCTGCAACCCATCTCTGGGAAACATCCATACACACTCACTCACACGCATTCACTACGGACAATTTAGTCTACCCAATTCACCTGTACCGCATGTCTTTGGACTGTGAGGGAAACCGGAGCACCCGGAGGAAACCCACGCGAACGCAGGGAGAACTCCATGCAGAAACCTTCTTGATGTGAGGAAACAGCACTACCTACTGTGCCACCCAGCTGCAACCCATCACTGGGAAACATCCATACATACTCATTCACACACATACACTACGGACAATTTTACCTTACCCAATGTCACCACATATTTTTGGACTTGTGGGAGCACCCGGAGGAAACCCACGCCAACATGGGGAGAACATGCAAACTCCACACAGAAATGCCAACTGACCCAGCCGAGGCTCAAACCAGCGACCTTCTTGCTGTGAGGCGATTGTGCTACCCACTGCGCCTGCCTATACTCAAACAGCAAAATAACACATTATTTCCTTCCCCCTTTTTTTCTGGCATCTCTTGCTTGGCTTCCTCTTCTGCTCTTCTCAGCTTCCACTGAGGACTCTGATGGTATGTGGCTGATGAAATCCTATGGGTCTTGCTGCTCTGCATTTATATAAAATATATAAACAGACAGAAAGGCTTTTAGTAAGCTATAGACATGTTTATTTTCCTGTTTAATGTGTGTGTAGTGGTTGTCCAACAATTTCACACACTAAACATTTACAGACACTATACATTACTATCAAACAAAAGTACTATCATCAGATCATATGGGAGATTGTGATCATTTATAGCGATAATAATTAAAGCGCAGAGGGGAAAAGGCTTAAATATATGTGCAGGCAGTATAGACTTTGAAGTAAAGATTATTTGCAGTTCAGTGTACATATTTAAATTCTGTGTCACTCATTAAATGGTAAGTAAATGTAACGTTTGGGTTAACTACCCCTAAGGTTAGTTTTTGATTAAAGTACATGTCTTAACCCATCATTAGTCCTCTTTGCTCAAATAAAATGAAAACTTTACGATGGTGTTGTCTCGACAATTAGAAAAATAAAAAAATAGTGTGAAACTGATAACGCCAGCAAGAACAGAGAATAACTTCTAATTTACTCATGACCATAGACACTGTTTGAAACACCTCGCACATGTAATCATATTATATAATGCATACGTAAATACAAATAAATGTTATTTTATAAAAAAATCATATAAAAAACTCAAGGATTTTAGATTCTGATGATCGTTAAACGCGTCATAACAGTGTTGTGAAAAGGGTGTAATTGTTAAAAATAGGTACAAACATCAGATATAAACAAAAACCTAAACAAACACTTCTATGTACATAACGTCATAAAAATACTTGTTTTATTTACCTCGCGCTGCCGTCCTTGTACTGCCGTGAACAGGAAATTCTGGGAATGGAGGACGGAGAGTTGAATCGATTCGTCTTCAACAAACCGATCAGTGTGACATCAAAACATCGCGAGAACAACAGACAGCTCCGTGTGCATTTGAATCCATCTCGCGATATTGTATCACTTCAGGTACGCGCCTACTGATTCGTTGATTCAAACGAGTTGTGAATCAAGAAGCCTCTAAAGATCCGAATCAAACTGCAGCAGCACGCCACGAGGTTTTGCTCAGACTTTTGGGACGTTTGGAATTGCTCCGTCTTGTCACCATGTAACACATGTGAGTAAATCGTTGTCAGTAAATAAGGCGATTGTTACGATTAGAAATTGTGCATTAACCAGATTATATTTATTTTGTTTCATTTGTTTTTAGCGTAACATTAACGTTAGTTCATGGCCGAATCTAAACGGCCAGCAGCGAATATTTACCAATGTTTACTGTCGTTTACTTTGCACATCTTAGAAATGTTGCCAAAGTTCCTATGGATTTAGTTTCTTCATGTCATTCCAGAAAGACTGGATGATGATCAGGTCAGATCTCTGTGGCTGTTGTCATACTGACTGTGCAGACGATTTTCTCCCTTTATACGTTAATTACAGCAAAGTTAATGACAAAATTAATGTTTGAAAATGTAAATTGATATTTTCTGTAGCATGCCAGTTTGATATATCAATATATCAGTTTGATATCCCCCCCCACCCAATTACTAGTAACGTTTGCCTAGGACTTTAGCACAGTAGCCTACTATTTAAGCCTTTTCCCCTCTGCGCTTTAATTATTATCGCTATAAATGATCACAATCTCCCATATGATCTGATGATAGTACTTTTGTTTGATAGTAATGTATAGTGTCTGTAAATGTTTAGTGTGTGAAATTGTTGGACAACCACTACACACACATTAAACAGGAAAATAAACATGTCTATAGCTTACTAAAAGCCTTTCTGTCTGTTTATATATTTTATATAAATGCAGAGCAGCAAGACCCATAGGATTTCATCAGCCACATACCATCAGAGTCCTCAGTGGAAGCTGAGAAGAGCAGAAGAGGAAGCCAAGCAAGAGATGCCAGAAAAAAAGGGGGAAGGAAATAATGTGTTATTTTGCTGTCTGAGTATAGGCAGGTGCAGTGGGTAGCACAATCGCCTCACAGCAAGGAGGTCGCTGGTTCGAGCCTCGGCTGGGTCA